GGTCCCGGTGTTAAATTGCAGCAAATTGTAATGTAAAAGAGCCCTGATAGGTTTACACTTCGGACCCCTGCTTTGCAGGGAATTGCAACTAAAGAATACAATATTTCACACCCTAAACTGTGTATTTGTGTTAATGCACATGGTTTTGTGGCATTGCATTAGGCGGCGTGTTCATTTTGAATGGGCTCCCGAAGCACCTCAACACAAAAGTAGGTCCTGCACCACTTTTTACAGTGCATTGCGACACAGAGCATTTGTATCTGTGCATTGTATTTGCTATAGTATATACTGTATATATGTGTTGGGGTGCAATTATTAAGAATGACGTGCAATTCACCACATCACAAATATACAGTATGGTAATGTACCTTACACGATATGTTTGTGTCAATCAGCCCTACAGTCCTATTCTAATAATTATGCTTGCTTTATTAAAACGTCGCAGCACAACAAATGGTAATGCACTCATATGGGCTGCACTGCCGAAATTCTACATGCCCTTTTTTGTGCATTTTGGTGTGTTAAGCAGTCTTTTTCAAATGAATGGGCTGCCTTAATGCAATGCACGTTAATATGCAGCATAACACACATATGTGACCTGACAGTTTGAATCCAGCCTAAATATTTTCACAACTAGATTAATGTTGATGTCTTATATATGCTTGCAATTTAGGTTTAATGTGCCATTCCCCCCTTTCAACGATATTGCAAGTAACATTTACAGTGCAATATATTAGATATGAAGCTCTAGACAAAATTCAGTTTCATTGCCAACAGGTGTAGATACATCATGTGCAGATCATTTTTGGAATGAACCTGTCACATTTGAAGCATGATTGTAGTGTTGTAGCGCAAACTGAGACAGTGTGGAAATCATTTTGCTTTTTTAAATTCACACTGCCATTGCCAAGTAATTAGTAGTGAAAATTGTGAAATTTTAGTAACCTTTATTTCAATCTCCAATTTGTAGAAGAAAGCTGTATATAGTGTGCAGCTCTTCATTTATTTAGCATGTAATATGATTTTAGCCTTATACTGTAACATTACATTGACCTATTCAGCAGAAGGGTGTTACTTTAGTAAATTGCTGCATGCCCAAGTGTTCTTTTCTGAGTTTCTTGAGCCTTATTTACTCTTGAAATGTGAATAGGCCTTCTATCAGTGAAAACCCTTGCTAATAACGGTTTCATAGTTAAATTCCAAGGTGATAAATGTACAATCCGAAAACAATTCGCAAATCCTGACAAAAGGAAAATAGGATGATCACCTATACAGACTCATCACCACAGACTAACAAATCAAGACGGCCACTCATAATCCACACAACAAATGTATCCACCTATGGCACAGATGACTAGAGCAAAAAAACCCAGAAGCCATAAAAGATATTATAAAGAGAGGCTTTTAGAAGATATAAACGTACTGCCCTGCCGAATGCTCATGACATGCAAATGCTGTATGGAAGCAAAGGCCACACGTAGCCCACTTCCACAGGCCACCCAAATAAAGACCACCCACCCCATGGAGTTCATACACAGTGATGTGTGCGGCCCATTGAAAACTCAGACATCAGGCGGGAATAGATATCTACTGACTTTCATTGATGATTATTCCAGGTACACAACAACTTATCTGATGAAGCACAAGAATGAAACATCAGAAAAACTTCAAGAGTTTGTAGCCATGTCCAGCAACAAATTCCAGCGGAAACCAGCAATTATATGCACCAGCAACTGAGGGGAATACATCCGTAAGGAAATGGAATCATATCTGAAGAAACAGGGTATAGTACACCAGACAACCACACCATACACTCCTGAACAAAATGGTGTAGCGGATCGGAAAATGGCCAGATGCATGCTCTTAGATGCCAGCCTACCTAAGAAGTACTGGGGAGAAGCAGACATGACTGCAACATACCTAAGAACAGACTACCATCAAAAGCCGTTGAAAGCCCCCTATTTGAAATGTGGCATAGATCAAAACCTAGCATAGGGCACATTAGAGTGTTTCGATGTAAAGCTTATGCATATATTCCCACGAGAAGCGATCCAAGTTGGAGAACACAGCCTTAGAAGGTATTCTGGTAGGCTATAGTAAACAAATTAAGGGATATAGAATCCTCCACCCAAAGACTGATAAGGTGACAATAAGTCACAGCATGTATTTCGATGAGAACCCATCACCAGAAAGAATGATCCCGGGAAGTTGCAAAGTAAATTTGCCCAGTGAACCAGAAAAGGAAGCTGAGCAAATTGAAGCTGCACAGAAGTCAGAACAAGAGGTGGAACTCACAATGGATAAGGCAAGTTACATGTTAAATTCTGCTGAACAACCTGAAATTAAAAGATCCACTCGGGTGACATAGGGAATACCACCCTGCAAGCTGTCATATACTGCTAAGCCACATAGAATACTCGAACTAACATCATAGGAAGACATAGAAAAATTTCCAAAACGCAAAGGCAATCAATGGAGAAAGGCAGCAGAAGAAGAAATAAAATCACTCCAAGAAAATAAAACCTGGACACTCACTGGGCTTCCCCCCAATCACAGAACTACAGGAAGCAAATGGACTTTTATGGTGAAGCTCGATGCAAAAGGAACTATCCACAAATACAAAGCCAGATTAGTTGCCAAGGGACACTCCCAGAAATTTGGAGAAGACTACGATGAAACACCACCACCATCAGAACACTCCTCAGCATTGCAGCTGGGAAGGGCATGCAAGGGAAACACCTAGACGTTAAAACCACTTTAATCTATGAAGACATTAAGGAAGATCACTACACAAAGCAACCACCAGGGTTTGAGCAAGGATGCAACCTTGTGTGTAAACTCCATAAAAGCATCTATGGACTCAAGCCGTCTGCAAGAATGTGGAATGAGAAGTGAATGAAATACTCACGAAAGGGATTCACAAGAAACAAAGCAGATCCCTGTGTTTATTCCAGGAATCAAAAAGACAGATGGATATACATCCTAATTTATGTTAAAATAAAACATTAGTATTGTGCCGCTCTCTTACCCCTAAGTACTTATTATAGCTTTCGTGATAATTCTGCAACACTCTTATGATATCGTGCTAATTTGCAAGATTTTATATGTAATCCCAATCCATATAATTATTAGTGCAACATTAACATATAAAGTGCAAAAGTGCAAAAAAAAGTCCACTTGAATAAATAGACTAAAGTGCAGCGACATAAAATTGTGCACCCCTGAGTGGGTATTCAGCAAAAACACACAGAGCAATTCGGAAAGCTACTGTACATTGCCACTGCAACAAGACCAAACATAGCAGGAGCAGTGGGCAAACTCGCTAGAAATGTCACAGCACCCTGCCAGCATGAAGAAGGTAAATACAATACTTAAAAGGAACAATTCGAATGAAGTTACGACTGCCAGCAGCATCAAAATCAAAACTAGTTGGATATGCGGATGCTGATTGGGCTGGAGACTGCACAGACCACAAATCCGTAAGTGATTACATCTTCCAATATTGAGAAGGAACCATAAGTTGGTCTAGCCGAAAGCAAGCACACGTATGTCAAGAAGCAATTTGGATTTACCAGTTTTTACTTGACATGGGTATAGACAGGTCAAACCCCATCCTGATCTGCAAATAACCAGGGATATATAAAGCTGACACAAACAGAAAGGGTCAACCCTACAACCAAGCATATCAACGTGAAGTATCATCTGCTTAGGGACACTCGAGCAAGCTATTATCAATATGCAATATTGCTCATCAGAAGAAATGACTGCGGATGCACTCACCAAGCCATTGTCAAAGGATCGTCACAGTTTCCTTCGTGAGAAGCTGAACGTCATATAGCAATGCTTATGCTGGTGAGAAAGGATGTTGGAAGTATAACAGAATATTCTGATATACTTATGTAATTTGTCTTTTGAGCTGTAGATGACGCTGTAGTTGAATGTTAGTCTCTATGTGCATGCTTATCTATGATACACAGGAAGTCTCTTTTTTTTCTCTCTTGTTTTTCTTCACAATCCTATATTCATATGTGTAATGTTCTTCTAAGTGTAAAACTTAATTTAGTATTCATCAAAATCATCTACACACACAACCAACACTATGGAACCACCCTTGTGTGTGCTAGTAAGCTGTGTCTCCACAGTCGCACATAAACAAGTACGAAGACTCCGGCACTCCAAAGATGCTGAAGAAAATGTCTTTAATTGATGTATGTCTGTATATAATAGTAACGTTTCGGGGTAATGCAGGATCCCCTTCATCAGGCAAAACTATGCGGACCAGAAGGTTAGGAGTGCGATGGGTTGATGGACTTTATCAACAGTCAAACAGGCACAACAACGCAAGCCATTCTCCTGCTCCTCCTTCCTCCCTCTTCTACAAGCAGATGGGATGGCTGCTGGAGACTGTGATTTCCCTTGTGATTTTGTATTGGACAGGAAGTTCCGGGAAACCAAGCTGAGGGAGTTGGAGCTGTTCACTGAAGGACTGTAAATACTTAGGCAAAAATGTAAAGAAATACTTTGCTGGAAATTTTACTTATATTTGCCTGATTTGGATTCATCATTGAAAAACATGTGAGGGTTTAATACTACTTTAACTATAACCCCATTTACTGTTAGAAAATTGAATAAACATTCTGAAAACAATTTTTTATAAAGGAAATTCTACTGGTGTACAGCCAGGTTTAGAAACCTTTGCTTTGTGTTTAGAGGGCTGGGAACCTGCCAAGATTCTGGTGCAACAGAACTAAGATTCCAAATTATGTGTGAAGTTTGAAAATTAATTTCTTTTACATGGCTTTTAGATAGATGAATGAGGACTTGTTTAAATTGTTTACTGCTTGCATGGAATATGTGAATACTTTAGTATTCATAATCTGGGCACAGGTTCACTTTATTGTTAAAAAAGTTTTACCATGTAGACTTGTATATAAAATATGAAATTATCAATAACAACCATATGTGTGAATTCATTTATTTTGTTTTTGTTTGTCAACTAGATTTCCAAATGAAATACAATCAGGCCTTCTAGAAGTTATATCCCCATCGCCCAACTTCTACCCAGATTTTTCACGCCTGCGAGAATCTTTTGGAGACCCCAGGGAGCGAGTCAGGTAATGTGCAAATAAAATGTGTGTTCGTAAAGGAGAACTTTAGGTACACTTCAGGTACAACCCTGAATTTTTAGGCACATGACACTACACAAAAGATGATGTCCACACATGTTCATGCTCTTGTTGCACATTTTCTTTCAAGGAGAACTGTGAGGTGAGTGATTTTCACTCACCTCATAGTTCTAGCCGACCTGTAACAATGAGACTGTCACAGGTCCGCTCAGTAGATCGGGAGGTGAGCGAACATATACCGGCGTTCAATCACCTCTCGATCCTGTCACGGCTCTCTGCCGTGACAGGGGAGGGGCTGGATTCCCCGCTCCGATCCGCCAGCGCTGACTGGCGGAACGGACAGGGGAGGGGGCGGATACAGCTGGCTCTGCCTCTAGATAGGCAGAGTCAGCTGTCAGTCACGCAGCTGGGCAGATCCTGGCACAATTGTCGGGATCCGCTTCAGCTGCGGTATACTGCGGCGCCTCAGTATACAGCGAGCTGTATACTGAGCCTAGGGTGACGGGAGGACACTAGTTTGTGTCCTCCCGTTACCCTAAGGAGAACTATGGGAAAAAGACTTAACCCCATAGTTCTCCTTTAAAAAAAATAAGAATCTCATTATTCAGTAGATTCACTGTGTGTGTAGACAACATATTTACATATTTTCATCATCCTCAACAGCTTCAGGTTTTAACTGAAAAACTAACTTTCAATTACAGTGCTAAATCTGTGGCAGATCTTTGCAATCTTTTGCAGTTTGCTGCCCAGGATTGCAATTGCTGGCAATCTTACTCTAACAAAAGTACTCTTACAAATATTTGCCACTAAAGATGAGTCAGTAAAGATATGATCCTATGGGAATGTACTTGGTTATTTTCTCTTTAGGCTGCATTCACACCAGCAGCTGCACTACAACGTGGCACATCACACCTTTACTTTTCATTTTTTTTTAAACTTTATTGAAATGTCACGAGTGACAGTTCATTAAGTTCTATGAGCACAGTCTGGTGCGATGCGGTTCTACCACATTGTGGCCCGCTGCACTAAAAAAAATTGACATGCAGCATTACATTTTTTCACTACACTGAACTGAGCCCATCCTGTACAAGACAACTTGCCTTGTTTTGACTTTAACACATTTGGTGTGAATGCAGCTAAACTTTTAACTCCAGGCAAATATAAAAACACAAGTTACTTAAATTATGCTTTCAACAAATAAAGGGCAGAAATTGTATTAACCCTTGCAGTGGGGGGCTTATTTTTTCTTGGGGCTAAAAAAAAAAAGGTTCTACTCCACTGCAGCAATGGAATCTCCCTCAGCGTCCTCATGTTCTATACACTGTATTAGACTCAATGACTCATGGATTCCTAGACCACTCCAGAGGAGGGGGGAGAGACGCTCTAGGAATTGGGGTAAGAGCCGGCCAGCTCTGAGGTTTAGGCGAGTATGACTTTTTTTATACTCTAGGCAGAAATGAGCAGTTAACCCTTGCAGTGTGGGAGTAGCCCCACTGCAAGGGTTAATAACATTTCTTTCCAGAGTTCTTCTTTAAATAAACTTTAACTGCAACTAGTGTAACTGCCTGAATGTGACTTTGTATCAACCTTTTGTAATCCTTTGAATAACAGCGCTCAGACTGGGCGAAGGAGTAGTAGCCAGTCAGGTATGCTACAGTGCACATGTGCAAACAGCATCCTACAGAAGCAAAGAGAAAGGAGACTATTTCATCAATGTGCTGTTGCTCTATCATTGTCCAATCACAGGCTGGGGCAGGGAGGTGACCTAGCTATATTGTTTAACTGCTGTAAAGAAAAGTGAGATTGCCGACCTGGCTCTTCTACAGGGTTGTGGAAATCTTAGGACTAGATGAACAATAATAAAATATTTGTTTTATTTTGAAAGGCAGTCATTCTTTTCTTTGGAGCACTTTTAAATTGAGGCATGCAACAATTATCCCAAAAAATCGTGAGACTGGCTAAAAAAAGCAGGTAAGATGCCATGGGAAAGATCTAAGTGTAGTGGTTTAGATCTTTCTGAGTTAGTTGTCCAAATCAAAACGTATGAAGTATTTGCAAAAGAATCAGAAGAAATTAGGCACCTATACTCACATCTGTGGGGTTGCAAGAAACCTTTTTGAGGATCAGGCAACCTGTTTTAGAGCTTGTGAAGGACCTGTCTCAGATGATCATGCACTGCACTTTGAGATCCCAGTACTATAGTAGAAGACTTTGACCAAGTAAAAAAGGGAGGCCCCCATTGGGAAAGAAGAAGCTTTAAAGTGATCTATTCAAAAGGTAGGTATTCATTGGTCATGCAAAAGTATAAAATACGACTAATGTTTTTCCTGGCACTAAACATTTAGCTTCTTCTTTTCCAGCAAGCTCCACTACTGAACTCCCCTGCTTTTTTTAGGGGCCAAAGTCTTCTACCACTTTTCAAATGAATCGTGATGCAAGTAACAAAACTATATTTTACATTATTTAATTTGTCTTCTGTTTTGACAAAACAATGTTAGCTTTTTAAGTTTTACAAAAGGTCAAAGCTGTTTTTAAATGTGTGATATTAGGGCCTGTTTTCAAGACCAATCAAGCTTTGCCACATACAGTTAAGCAGTTCTCCTACTTTGATATATTCAATTTGATATATTGGAAGGAGGTTAGGTTGTAGACTTTTTGTGTTACTTTTCTGGTACTTCTCCTTCAGTGCATTCAAATTGTTACTAGAGTAAAAAAATAAACTGAAAAGCTGTGATTGTTGTAAAACTGGCATCTTCTGCCAAAGCGAAAACTCGCAGCCTTATCAAGTGTTCTGTTTGGAATGTAGACATTTATTAGATCGTAAATCACGATCTGCGCACTTTGTGGTCATACATGGACTGCTTCGTGCCATAACAAGTTGTGTGAAAGCCTGTGATCAGTAAACTGTCCTTCTCTGTGCTCATAAGAGAATTAGGCTTTTACTGTGCATGTGACAGGATGAAGTGTAGTCTGAAGTGCTGCAAGTCCACCTACGAATGTACATTAATGATGTCATCACTCTTTTCAAAATGTGCTGTATTTTATGGTTGTGACATGACTGCTTTCCAGATTTGATCTAGAATATATCATAAAACTTTTACCCTAAGGCCTGGTTCACACGGGCGTTTTACAGCGCGTAGGAACGTGCTGCAAAACGCCCTACACCCAAAGGAGCCAAAGTACAGGAGCTTCTTTGGGGCGTATTTGCCATGCGTTTCCATTGGGGTACAGCCAGGTAGCCCTCGGAAACGTGCGTTTGGTGCGCGGTTTTTTTACCGCGAGTCACGCGGTAAAAACGCGCGGCACGAAACGCGTGACAAACTCGCATATTCTATACTCCCTATGTGTGAACCCAGCCTTATTCTCTGATATATATTTTAAAAGTAAATCTGAAGTTGTTTTTTGAATGACAGTTGACACAGCTCGGATTTAGGAATGAGTAATTATAATGGCTCTTTTGGCTTCAGCTTAGTAACACCAAGTATATTAAATAACCTTGACATCTAGATTTGGCTGCCGGTTTTCAAAGGCATGCAGAAGTTACAGACACAAGTTATTTTGTGTCACTTGGAGTCTATAAATTACTTTGTTCTTCTGTGCTTATCTCTCTATCAAGGAATGTTGTGGCTCTGCCTCTGCTGCTGTTAATGTAGGTTACTGATAGACAGTTGGGTGCTTGTTTGCTTGGAATGCTGTGGGCTTTATTAAACTATCTGTATTTTTGTCTGCTTCCAATTGCCATTGTTCCAGTTTAGGTTTAAAAATGAAGACTCTGATTGGTTGCCATGGGCAGCAAGCATCTCTCAATGCTATTTGCTTGGTTCAGGCAGCCATACTTAATAAGTGATATGGCTGACTTTGGAACCACTTTTGATAATCAAGCAGTAGTTTACATACTAGAAGTACCAAGCTCTTTAAAGTGAAGAACAGGCACCGCTGATTGGGTGTTTACAGTGATTGAAAAGGTTGTGCAACTGATTTCAAGAGAAGTGCCAACTTAGACTTTTTAATGTTTTTTCTTGAGTGGAAAGGGTTTAAACACTCTGTTTTTAATGCTGTCCATGTTCCTGTCAAGAATTATTTTCCATCACCTTATGTGTTGGTATCACAGTTCATAAATGTGTTGGAGTCCTGTAATTGCTGTTTTGCTGGCTGTTGTAAAAAAGTGCACTTTCTTTTCATACAGCAAGAGGAGATTCCCCACAAGAGGTACCCAGACTGTGTTTTATAGGGTCATAAAACTGATGCGTGACTAATTGCTAAGGGTTTCTCCATTTCATTGTTCTTTGTACCACGTGCCTGTGTATTCCGTTCATGTGGCATCAACTCCTGGTTTTCTCCTTTTGCTAAATGCTTTCCTAGTAGTAAGCTTTAGAAATGAGTGGTGTGACTTTCACGCTCATTTTGGAGGGCTTGGTTTATGGTACAGTCTAGACCTTTCCAGAGCCTAATACTTCCTCAATGGCTGGAAATGTCCTAATGACCCGACCTCTACAAACGCTCCAACAATAGGACTCTTTCAAACTTTGTATTCTAAAGAAACTTAGTACCGAGAATTTGAATACTAAAAATCTGTGTACAAACAAATACTTTTCTATAGAGACCACATCTGCCTCGAAAGAAGAACGTCTTGAACCAGCTGGGTGTGTTGACCAGCATAATGACCCTCCTTTTTCTTCTCTCCCACTTGCTTCCTTCCCTCACCCTACTCCCTACCTTCCCTGCCATACCTTGTTGTTAAGAGAGATTTCCCTTCACTTCTTATCCTCTACAAACGCTCCAACAATAGGACTCTTTCAAACTTTGTATTCTAAAGAAACTTAGTACCCAGAATTTGAATACTAAAAATCTGTGTACAAACAAATACTTTTCTATAGAGACCACATCTGCCTCGAAAGAAGAACGTCTTGAACCAGCTGGGTGTGTTGACCAGCATAATGACCCTCCTTTTTCTTCTCTCCCACTTGCTTCCTTCCCTCACCCTACTCCCTACCTTCCCTGCCATACCTTGTTGTTAAGAGAGATTTCCCTTCACTTCTTATCCTGGGGACAAACTTTTTATCAGACAGGAAGTGAAGGAATCTCTCCAGTGGAGCTTCCAGCAGCAGTAATACCTGGCATGGGTTCTAGTCCTTCCCCATGTTACTTAAAAAAAATACAAATAAAGTTTTGCTTATAGATACTTTTTTTTTAACTGAAATTAAGCAGTACTGCTTGGTTAGCAGCCTGCCCAGGCATGTGATTGGACAGTGAAAGAAAGTGCTGCTCACTGATGAGGTCATCACTCTGTTCTCTGTACTTCATTATACATTTTCATACTCTTGCAAAGAAATAGAGCTCTGCTTGGTTTGAAGTGCTTACCCTCATTTTCCCAGTGCCATGCAGGAATTTACCAAAGCCTCATATTAAGATGGATGCCAGCTTTATGAAAAATCTGTTTTTTTTTAATAAAAGTGGTACAGTGTTAAAGCTAGTAATAGTCACATTTAACTAGACTTGTTCTGTAATGTTGAAGACATTTTATCACGCAACCAAGAAGTGGCTCTCTCTCAGTTCAAATAAGTGTCAGAATCATACCTCAGCCATTCTAGCCACATGGGTAATCTTAATCCAATCACCATGGTGTCATAAATTGGTCAAGGCCAATGTTGAAGTGCACGTTTGGACAGACAGGACAACTGTTTCCTTGAGGATGTGAAGGGGCCATCTAGGTTAATCTGGAACAGTCACCCCTAAACAGGGATGGGGACCTTCAACACCGCAATTTGACAGCATTTCACACCTTTCAGCCATGTAACTCAAACCATTAACATATGTCTCAGACATCATGGCACCATGGTGTTTGAAATAAATTATTAATTAGAACGGGGATGATCAGTATTTACCTTCACCCATTTCATGAAAGCATGGTGATCAGATTAAGGTGACCTTCCTTATTTGAACAAAGGAAAGAACATCAATGAGTGTTTAAATATCTTCAACAGTACAGAATATATCCAGTTGAATGTAGTTAAGTACTACTAGCTATTATATGACCTGGATAAATGTGAGCCTTCACAGACATAAACACTGCAATAATAACTTATAATATGGACTCATTAAAAAATGCACTATACTTTCCTATTAATGATCTCATGGGAGAGTATTCCAGGCCCTCACTCATATCCAACGCTGCTGATCTTTACTGTGTAACGCAAATTATTTTATAAAATGTAGATGAGCTAAAAACTCCCAAACCCCAGCAGGGAGGAGCCGTCAAGGCGAACCACCAGACTGAACAGAACTGCAGCTTAACTTGTCAAAAATAATCCAGCCATAGTTCTTCTGATGGAAGGAACACCTGCTGGTGGCCTCAATAAGCCAAACTAGAACTTACTGTTATTTTAGCTGCATTCCCTGGATATACCAATGCTGCAGGAATAGCATAGAACCTGTGACGCTCTCTGATTAATTAGGAGTAAATAACAATCATTAAATGCCTGTTCCAGGCACTAAATATAGATGCTATAATAGTCAGCAACACAGAAATATCCATCAAGTAATTATCTTTACCCTTGCATCCTTCTGAACATGCCACTGGAATATCAATGTAAATCAATGTTTGTTTTACAGGTGGAGGACAAAACAGAATCTAGATTATTGCTTCTTAATGATGTATGCCCAGTCAAAGGGTACATACTATGTGCAGGTAGGTCTACTTACACTGTCACATTGCTTTTTTTAAGATTGAGCTTCAATGAACCTGAAATGCTATCTTACATATTTCTTTGAAATTAATAATAGTAGAATAGATACTAAGATACATGTTGGGAGCGTATCAGAAGAGAAAGGCTTGAGATAAAACTATGATTGTAGGATAAGTAAGTTTTTACACACAGCGCAACTAAATGTGCACATAAATATTAGATCATAGTTTCCCGATCTGGATAGATTGAGAGACAATCTATAGGCACCAGCAGACACTGCCAGTCAAACCTTTAAGGGGGGGAGGAATCAATCAGCCACGTTGGCTAAATTTGTCTAATCTGTTTTGTTTTGTTTTTTCTCATTAAGTTGGTTCCAGGGGTCTCTGCAGTGCCTCCCCAACCTCTCTTTGTAGGCTAAATATAAACAGTTTTACTGATAGACAGTTAGGTGGTTGCTTGGAATGCAGTGGACTATTAGTTAAACTTAAATTTAATCAATTGGTTGCTATGGGAAACTAGTATCTCTCAATGCTATTTGCTTGGTACAGTTTTACAATGTTATTGTTCGCATTTAGAAAAGTGCCAGAGGGTCCAGATGCTGAAATGCGGTGGGATCATGCCTGAACATCTGACATCTCTCCAAGATTTGGGATAGTATTTACTGCCTAGTATCTGAGGCAAACCTAGGGTTTGCTCTTACAGGTTTGCTTTGATTCCCTCCATGCCAGTAGCACATACTTTCCTTTCCCTTGCTTTCACACTGTTCTGTTCAGCTGTCAGGAGTGAAGAGACTAGCCAGTATGGAGGAGCATGTAACTCTGCTTTTTATTTCATGTGACAACACTGGTTTTTGATGATTGGGCCAGTATAATCAGGGGTGAAGAAACCATCTGCAGCCCTGTGAAAGCTCCAACTAGAGCAGCTTGGAGATTACACAGGACTTGCTTTACTTACTCTTGGTGCCTGAAGGGAGCAGCAAGTGGAAAGGAAAGTGTATGTCAAGGCAAAAAATGCAGTACATACACCTTTCCCTATATTTTGTTACATTTAATGATCAAGGCAAAAAATGCAGTACATACACCTTTCCCTATATTTTGTTACATTTAATGATCCAGTAAATGAAGAAAATAAACTGTTGATCTACCAGAACTGCACTCAGCTCCTTAGTCCTGCTGTGGGCAAACAACACACAGAATTTTTGGCGACTGTGTCGTGTAAAAAATACTTAACCCCACCCATTCTCCCATCTCCACAGCATTAACAGTAATCATTCTGTAGTTTAAACTTAAGAATTGGGGGGCTTATTATTTCAATTGAGATAACACAAGAGATGTGCACTGGACAATTTTGTTGTTTTTTTCATGAGAAAAACACCTGTTGATCCTGGCAGAAATGCACTCAGCCCCTAATTTCCTGTTATGCCTTTTTTAGTTTGCAATCACAAGGAATGCTGTCAGACCTGACAAGTTGCCTTTAGCTGAACTATAAAACACTCCCCCTTCTCCTTATCCCTACATCATAGGAAGATGTACTTTGTAGTCAGATAAGAGCTGGGAGGGCTGGTTAGACTCCAAAAGAACACCGCAGGACAGCTCAAAATGTGTAACAGGATCACCAAGTATTTTTTGCACGTATTGAATAGATATATAAGAAAAAAAGTTTTATTGGTGTATTAAACTGAAAACACAATGGCCTAGCCGTATGGAGCAAGTTAACCTTTTTTTAAAATATGTTTTTTAATTACAGGCTTGCTTCATGAGACCAGGGTGCTTTGTTTTCTGCCTAATATGTTCTTTCTTGGAAAGGTGTGTGTGTTTGGCTATATTAAATAGACCAAAAGGTATCAGATAAGAGCAGTCATTTTTAATCAGCCTAAAATGGCTAAATATTACATATGACATTGCATTACTATGTGAAATATTTCAGGTCAGATAAATCTAGAACAAATTCTTACTGTATTGTGAGAGATATAAAAAAACATATGCAAGTATAAAAGTACCCAATTTTACACAGTAAAATAGATGTCTGACATTCATGTAAGCTAATTATGCAGCCTTTTGGTCAGTGTAAGCTGCCATTTTAGGCTAAAGGTGGTTGAACAGTGACAGTAGTTTGCATTCCTCTCTAACATAGCTAAATAAGAAGTGTAGAGGAGTGCAAAAATAACTCTTCCCACTGTATTACCTTTGTATTCACTTCTGATATGCTCCTGATACAATTAATTATTATTTATGTATGTTTTATTTGTCTTTCCTATATTTTTATTAAAAGGAGAATATAGGAAATACAATAGCATTTCCCCCCTTATTTTCAGGTTGAAATTTAGATTTAATGGGTAAAGCAAAAGCATAGCCTAGGCAATAGGTTAGTAGTTTAGAGGTAAATAATGATTTAACAGTTGAATTTAAAATGGTTGCTGAGAGAGGCCAACTTCTGAAAAACAATTGTATCCTTGGACTCAAAGCTGGCACTTCGGTTCCATATCAATATGGAGGATCGGCGTGTGTTCAGGGATCATTAAGATTTTGTCTATATCCTTCATATATGTGCAGTATGCAAACACGCCTTTATTTTTCCTCGGCTCTATGCGCCACACATGCGCTAAAACAGTAATATTGGATAATAATTATAATGGGTAATATGGTCAGTCAACTTTCCCAGCCCCTGTGTTTACATTCAGCTACTAGCTGGGGAATGTCCCAGCCAGCAACTGAATAGTGCCAGGGATGTGTCATTGGTTGCCCAGCACTCAACGAGCCCGGAGCGGGAAGATGTCACATTCATGACAACTTCCCAGCACAAATATGTTCTGTTCTTTACTACACAGTAGACCCACTCTATAGTAAAGAGCAGGGCATGTTTGAATACCAGTGTCTATACGCCAAGTTAAAGTTGGCCTTAATTACCTCCAGTTTTGTTATCTACCAACTGATGGTAATTCTTTTTTAATTTGTCATAGCCATAGCGACACATTGGCACAAATAAAAAACTACCAGAATCTGTGACACGTGACAGAACTCTTAACTATACGATCACAAGGCTTTCATACATTGGGTGCAGAACTTTTTAAAGGGAGCATGCCGCCAGAAAATGGTTGCAAATGCTTTATTTAATCACCACAATCATTTTCTTCTGCTGTGGCTATTGGAAGATGCTCCATCCAGCACTTCCCAGGTTTCATGGTACTATGTCGCAACTTAGAAGCTAGGAGATGCGCTAAGAAGCTTGTCTGCTGCTTCTAGAAGGCTCTGCCTCCGATAATATTCTTATCTTGCCTTCTGTTAGGAGAAGTCTTGCCCTCAACTTTAATACTCCTAATGCTTGGGAGACTGAACGTTTCTATGTTTTGATTACTGACGGCCTATGAAACCTCATGTACTGTTGTAATTTATTATTAGCCATTTCCATATAAATATTTACTAGTGAGAGGAAGATGGATTGGATATTTGTGTTATTATTTTTCTCCTTTTGATGTTTAATTCATTCTTTCAGCCTCTCAAACAGGCTTTTAAACTGTCTTGTTGGTCATGAAATAAATAGTTTGCCTTAATAAGAAATATTTCTACAGTTGTGTGTGTAATGAAGGGTCTGGGTACAATGCAGAGCTTCTAATACTCATGAAGTTGCCGTTGCCTTTCATTTTTCCATTTCTACAGCTGGAGGATGATATTGTGGCTAAACCCAACTATTTGAGCACAATGAAGAACTTTGCCCTTCAGCAGCCCTCTGAGGAGTGGATGATTTTAGAATTCTCCCAGCTTGGCTTCATTGGTAATGGTTATGAATATACTTCTTTGTGATGTTGTGTGCCCTCATTTATTTAATTTTTTGCTTTTTTCCATTTTCTTATATTTTGCAATGGCATTCCTTGTTTGTTTTCATAAAAGTCCTGGGCATCATAAATGCACCCTCCTGAAGGTTGGTCATCATGCCAACCTGCGCTCACTGTACTGTTGCACAGGATTGGTGAGTCAGGTCCCTTTGTGTCTGCCAGCATAAGCTGTGCATCATTAGGGACTGCCCACTGTCACAGGAAAGATAAGGTGGAAGAGGACACTTGTCATGTGACCAGACCAAAGACACCTGGTAAGAAAGTCTATATCATACATTTAAAAAAAAATAAATGCAGAAGGGGTAGGAGTAAAGAATCGGATGGAAAGTAACCAACTTGAATTGGGCTTTAAATCTCATTTACTGTTGGTTAAAAATATGTAAATACATAAAAATATAGCCTGGCTACAGCTTCACTTTAATGTTGGACGATACTTTTACCCGTCACTTAATAAATATGCTGCTGCACAAGGGTGCCAAAGGCCAGAAGATCCTGTCAAGATTGCTTGTACTCGCCTTGTATGCCTGTATATAGATGTGCCAGTTGTACATCCATAAACCATAGTGTGTAAAGCGGCTATATACCAAACGTTTTCGTTTCAATACATTTTTATAAAAGAACATAAAATCATATATGACATGTAACATTTGCCAAGCCCCAATCCTACAAATAATGTTGTAAAATGACTGAAAAAAGGAAACCAATGAGGAGTTACTTGAAATAACATAAGTGCCCTAAAGTGTACCTGTGCCCAAGTTGTAGTATGCAATCTGATGGTGTAGATCTACAGAATATGATGAGTACTCACCCAAATGGTTTAAAGTGTATCTGTCAAGAGTCCCCATTGGGCAGATTCACCACTCTGATTGTACTGGTGACCATTGCTGCTGAAACACAAAGTGTGGGGAAATCCAGAAGTTTAGAAGTTGTCCCCAGAACCATGGGTGAGATGAAATCTTTGTATATGGACACTTGTTCCAAGGACAAGAGGGGAAATCCCGTCACTTTTGGAGATTTCCCATAATTACCTGTCTCAGCACCGGGACAGGAAGAAAAAAAGCTACTCTATGCAAAACTAAAAAAAAAAAAAAAATGTGGCTGTACATGCACTTAACCCTTGTCTGGGTGGCCTTTGTTAGTATGTAGAAATACCCTGCTATCCGTATGGAAGTGCTGACCATCTGAGATCAGTTCAGTAGCTAAACCTTTACCTTTTTCCTCAGCTGCTCCTCTTCCCTGTGATTTCCATGTTACCTCCCCCACTCACCCCGACCTGCAGATTCAATGCTCGCTGCAACGTGATAGCTGAAATCACATTCCTGTATATTCAAAACTTGCATGGCCATCTGAGCTTGCATGGCCAGCTGAGCTGGCCATACACTGGTAAATCTTTGTACGAACTTCATATGAAACCTCAGAAATTAAATCATGCCATCAGATACTTGACAAATGACGTTTGACGTTGGAAATTTTGTTCAGCTTTGCCATTAATGGAGTTTCCTGAACAAAAACCTCATTCATTGTTAGAATTTGGTTTGAGTAAAAATTTCCATCCTGTTTCTTTTATTTTTTTACGTCAGTGCGGTCAAAAACTTAAATTCACCCCCATTAACTATTAGAAAATCAAATGAACTTTAGAAAACTCATTTTTTTTTTCCAACAAAATTCTGCTGGTGTATAGCCAGCTTTATAGTTAGAAAAGACTGTAATAACTGGCCATATTTCTTACTAATTTCATGTATGCCAGGAAAGTAGCATTTTGGTGAGGTCAAATGGAAATATCCAATTTCACTGTCCTAAAAATAAAAAGGCTAATTACACTCAGCTCATTTTTATTACCATTGGTGCGGCCATTTAATTGAATCCTCACTCCACTGTGAAGCTACAACCGCTGACACTTCTGGCTCTGACAGATTTCTGCCCGCTGTGAAACCCCATCTTCCCACCTGTCACCCCCCTCAGTGCTGCAGGGGCACACTAATAAGGTAGCACAGGAGATTGAGGAAAGCCACAAAAGGCAGGCGGTCCACAGAGGTATCCAACACACCCTGAACTCTGTTGAAAGACAAGATTTCATTAAACTTAGCTGTTAATGGTAACCATTATAAATGTATTTCGTAAAGCTATATGTAATTAAACCTTTTACTTATATGAGGGAATCATATAAGGGAATTTGTACTCTATTCATTTGTTTTTGATGCACATGTGAAATGAATCAGGTTACTGCAATTATTAACCATGTGTGTTAATATTTTACAAAAACAGTTTCTATGTATATTTTGTATGGGTATTTTATTTCAAATTAACGTTTATTAGATATCTCAAACAAAATGAAGAGGAAGCTTTGCTCCAAAGAGGTCAAACAACAGAAAAAAATAAGTGACATAATGAGTCATAATTCGAACTTTGTGTCAAGTACAGATGGAAATTTTGAATGTCAGATATATCACATCATAAATTACACAATATGTGACAGAATTAATCGAGTAGGGTATATGTGGTGACTAATGGCAAAGATGGGTATTTTAATTTTATGCTGCAATCAGATGAAGACTACTGAACTGTTTGGCATCAAGACACCATTTAACTAGATAAGAAAAAATCAGTGTCAGATGTCTAGTAATGAATATTCTGTGGAGCCCAAGTTTTATATTTTTAAAACCACATCATTATGGATGGTGAAAGTCACCCTAGTTTTAATCTTACTCCTGTTTAAAGCATATTATCTTTAATCACTGCAGATGTTGTGCTATAGCATCTGCAGAATAATGAATAAGAAAGAGAGGAGACCATGGATCTTGAGCTTTTATACAGTTTCCAAGAACTCTAATGTGAGATCTAATATCCTTTTTAGATGAACATTAATCCTTTATACTGAAGCATAACCAATAAGACATGCTGATACTTTTAGCTGAAAAGCGTGATCACATCGTTCAAAGGCATGTCTGCCTTTAAATGAAAACTAAGCTGGGAAAGGAATGGTCAGTACTCTGAGCCACTTGAGTTCTGCTGCATGCGTCAGGCAGCATAATGGAAGAGTGGTGGAATATGACTTTATCAGTCCACTGCTCCTTCATTGTTCAGTCACAGACTGGGCAAAACTATGTTGCTTAGCTGCATTAGACAAAAGTAAGATCATAAACCTGGATCTGGTGTCTGACAAGGATGTGTAAATCGTAGTATTGGCTGGACAAATATTTTGTCAGCTAACATAGCTCCAAAATATTTTCCAGCATTTCAATTATGTATCAAGCTGTTTACCAGGAATTAAGTTTTAATAAATGGAAGGGAGACGTGGCTAGAAGCTTCCAGCTACACCTGGTTTGGTGGTGGAACAGTATTGATCAGACAAGGTTTTTAAACCTCATTAACCATTCATCTGAGAGCTGTCAGTCAGATGGTGGGCATCTTGCTGCTTTTACTTGATGTGAGATTGTCACCTGATCCGTCTAACAAAAGTTGGATTGGTGGTAAGGGTGGGGGTTGCTGCAGAAAAAATGCAAAATCATACAAGCATGCTTGCAAATAATGGCAATCTTACCTTGCCCTGTTTAAGCAATGCTAGCTCTATGTTATCCCTCACTGTTGGAGAGTGGCTGGTGCCATCTTCATGGAAGTGTCTACCTCTGCCAGAGTCTTTCTCCTTTGGCCATAGGGCAACTTAGGCAACTCTCATGAATGCCTTTGGAGTTGCGCCATCCCAGCACTAGGTTCCATGCTTCGGCATCTGATAAATACTGACAGTATTCAAGGCACTAGG